TCACCACTTGAATGCATCATTGTTAAGCTCCGTATCGAGCACGCACACAGACATCCTACGAGTTCAATCTCACCATTTACAGTATTAAGTACTTCCGAAGTGTTGGACACAGTAAGCTAGCAACAGTAAACAGACATGCCATGCTTTTCTTCTGCAGTTAAATATCAGCCTTCCATGAAATTAGCTTGTTAAAATTTTAAAGGAAACAATTTTTTTTTACGTTATATGTGGGTTAATAGTTAACTTTACATAGCTCAGCCAACTACATCTTCGTTAAACCCTCACTCCAGCGGACAGGTTCGGCCCACCCCTCCCCTCCAACAAAACATGAAAGCTCCAATTAGTGGCTGCTGTGTGTTACTAAGCAAAGCAAAAACAACATGATACCAGTCTAATTTTGTTTATTATTTAACACACGGAATTCAAGGTCAAACACATTCAATCAAGATATAACTGCAGTGGGACCTTTCTAGGCATGCCGTCAAAATTAGAAGCCCTTCCTGGACCGTTTTGGGTGCTTCAGCCAAGCGGTCCTGGATTGACTCCACTGGGTCTCTGTGTCACACTCTGGCTGATCAAAAGGAAAACTATTTGTGCTAATCTTCACTTTATGTTGCATATTGTTCAAACCCACAGTCATCAGTTCAGACCAATGGGAGTGTTACACTTCAGTAACCAGGCTGCACCTGGCTTCATAGCGATTGGGGAAGAATGGATGAACACACTGGGCCCAGTGCCAAGCTTCTGGAATTTGATGTGACACCTTACCAATCCACTTAGAGGTCTACAGATTAACCTTTTGTAGCACCATTTTGGAATGACTGTGATTGATTTAGCGATTATTTCTGGCACATCAAAAAAGCCTAAATCTCAAGCTCAACTCTACTACAATGTTAATGCCCTAATCAATGCATGGTTGGGTTATTTTCCCCATAATGCACCACGATACCTGATGAAGGTAGGTACTGACTCATTCTGTCCGATGTCCGTCGCTGTCCTGGAATCATCCGCCGCCAATTCTTTGACTTCTTGCCTTCTTTGCCTTGGCACTGATCTTCAAGTTGGTCCAAGCACAAGCCCGTCTTATGAATATTGAACTCACAATCTGGAACAAGCACAATATTCAAAACAAAGGACTCATTCTGGTCTGCCACTAGTACCAGGGTTCTCATGGGCGTCAAACATGCACCCGCGCGCATGTGTGTTTTCTCTGTGTGCCGTGTGCTCAATACGCAACAGGGGCTGCATTTACGAAGGTTAAAATTCTATACCACACCATTCGACCCCACACACATTTTTGTTCATGGCAGCAGCCGTAGCCCTGTGTAACAGCCCTAAAGGCATCTACGATAGGGACAATATTTCTCACTGCCATTTCACCGCGTTTTGTCTCGCGCACAATAGCAGAAACTCAATCAACTCTTTTTTAAAGTGAATAACATCAGCAGTCCGCGCTGAGGGAAACCCAAAAGGCAGACGAAGCAGCCACCTGCAGCACATGCACGGAAGGCACTGGCAAAGGAAGTTCTGATCAGCAAAAAACCAAAGGTTGAAGCATCTACTAAAATTAAAACTGAATAAACGGATGTTTACATCATTGATTAGACAGCCACTACGTGTTGTTGCATGTCTGAAACTTGAAATGACTCCTTTTGTGCCTACAGGCCTTATTAGTAGTCCAGAAAGGAAAACTGGCCATTTGTTAAAATATTGATATCCAAAATTTAAAACCAAAACTTATTAA